AAAAACCTGGGCTAGCGTACGCTGACATTAATTAACCTATTCCTAACAGTTTATGAGGTGCACGGTAAATATGGGACGATAATAGCTTTGACTATCTGCTTATTGGTCACCTAAACTACAAAATTAATAATATTGCTGTTCTGACATGTATCCCAAAGTTTTTCATGTTAAAAATGTGCATCTTTATAAATATTTGCTTGTGTTTTTAAAAACCATGGGTGGCGACGTGATTACTGAAAATCTGCTTACTTTTGAACGTTCTTGAACAGTGTGGGCACTTCATCACTGGTGAAAGTTGTAGTTGACTTTCAACAGAGTAAATATTTTGAAATGATTTTCTGAAAATAGTTAACTAATTTTCTACTTTGATATCTTGCCAATCAAATGTATTTAAGTTGAAGGATTAAAAAAATGTGGTTACAAATGAACAGCGCAGACATCGGTTGAAAGCATGTAAAAACTACTGAACCCAGTTCCACAGTATGTTAAGGTTGAGAAACACAACCATAAGGCCGGGTTAGCATCAAGGAGCGAGACCTTCTTGGCATTCAGTTAACTTGGGTAGGTTGTGTGTCATACCATAAATATGTCATCCCTCAATATAAATATGTATGTATGAGTTGTGTTGCCTTTTAATAAATATGCAAACGTACAAATACATAAATATACAATTTACGGATATGTAAGTGGTTAATGCTCAAAAAGGGGCACCATTTCTTCTATCCCCATCCTTTTGTGGGAGCATTATAAATAGAATGTGGTAATATCCACGCTTAAAACCAGTACCCATGCACTCTTAGAAAAAACCCACGGGGTAAAGTCAGTTTTTCCACCATACGAAGTAATGTTTACTAAATTCAGGGTAAGTACAACGCTAGATTTAGTAAGCATTACTTCGTATGGTGGAAAAAGTGACTTTACCCCGTGGGTTTTTTCTAAGAGTTTGTGGCTATTAATATAAATGACATGCGAAGTGGTTCATGTCAAGAATGGATCTTTCTACCAGAAAGGGTCGATTTGACCTCTGGGTACGAAACAAATATGATTTTCAGTCATTAATACTTGTCTTAAATCTGTGGAAAACCCGAGCTAAATAAATTTCGGTGCGAAGCATCTACTTAATTTGTGAAAATGGATAACTGTACCGTTAATGGTTTTATTAGGTCGGAATCAGATGGCATTTCATGGAGAAAATTAAATTCATTGATTTCCTTTGTTACAAAGTATATTTTTTATCGTATTATTTTCTCTGTAATTGTATCGATAATATCTTTTGACCGGCTCGTAATACATAGTTTACTATGTATGGTAAGTGTTTTGTAATTATGTAATTCTGCATAAGAGATTTACAAAAAATCGAAAAAAACTTAAATTATTTGACTGAAAATGCATAGCATCGTTGAATGTACAGTGCCAGCCGCATAACCTTACCCCGCCGAGTCTCAAGGGCTGAAATTGACTAAGAAATGAGGGTCTCGTATTTACAACTTGGTGACCGCAATATTCGACCGTTTGAGCCTAATGTCATTTTTGGCACATCAAATTTCTCAATTAATTTTCCTTGCATTTCAAATTTGGCACGAAACTTAGTATGTAAAATCCAGACATAAAATATCAAATAGTTTTTAAGCAAAGGTTAGAAATCAAACAATCGTTTGCGTATATTTATCTACATGCTGAGAAGTTTTTGAGTAAAACGTGTACGTTGCTTAATGCGATTTTCGATTTATTCTTAACCTATCACATATGTATACAACATTCTATATAAAAATTATTGGAATGAAACGACCATAGAATCCAGTTTGTTGGTCACATATTCATAACTACGCTAAAAATTTAACGACTTGACTCCCATTTTGTACACATATTTTTAATGTGCGCAAAATTATCATGTCGATAGGATGAGTTTAGAGAAAGCGAATACGACGTCGGCAGGACGAAAATGTTTCACTGCAGCTAAATACTTCCCAATGTGCGTTTGCTGCCGTTTATTGTTATGCGATATGTATGTAAGTATGCACAAGGGTCAGGGCTGTCTAATTACCTATGAAAGTAATTAATTCTTAATTACTCAACATGAAAATAAAGTAATTAAGTATCAATTACAAGTACTTATTTTTTCCAGTAATTGAATTAAATTACTAATTGCAATTACTTCACCAAAGAGTAATTGATTTTTAAGTACTAAATAATTACTAATTAGTAATTAAAAATCAATTTCTAATTACTTCTCGTAAAACTACATGCTATTTCCTAATTACTATGGAATTACATAATAACTTTGCTATAAAAATTCCTTGACAAATTACATTCAAGTTTAGCATTTTAACATTCCAATGCTTTGAAAATTTGCAACTCGTGATGAGTTAGTTGTGTACTTTATACAGTCAATGGTTTGCCGTTTTGCTCGGTAGAACGGTTTCTGATTATGCAAAAAAAAAATTGGATACATTTCTATCGTGAATTTTAGTTTTACGAGAATGAGTACGTTTCCAATTTAGAGTCCGTCGAACAATTGTGATCAATAATTGCATTGCAGATTGCAATGCAAGAATTGCAATAGCTGGATTGGACCACTGTCCTCATTGAGGACTCCTCAACAATAGATTCTTAACTTTATCCGGTGAACGAGACTAGTGGCAAATTTACCCCAAAGTATGCTCGATTAAGTAATTGATCAAAGTAATTGAGAATTCAGTAACTAATTACAACTTGGTCAAGTAATTAAATACTTCCTATTTTAAGTACTATTAGTCCTTCATGTACTTACTTAAGTATCAAATACTTTGCAAATTTTTCTGAGTAATTGAAATCAAGTATCAATTACTAATTACTTAAATTTCATTAACTAAAGGAGTAATTAAGTACAACAGCCTAAGGATGAAGCTGTCTAATCACCATTACTAGCGCGGTGGTGGCGGTTAGAGTTCCACTGGAACAAACAAAAATTCGTGTCAGCATATCGTCGCTGTAGCTCCATAAATTACGAAGACGAAAACCATTTGCAGCCATGTAACATATTAACAAAGGAAATCTCCCAACGTATGCTCATAGATTTGGACCAAACAAGTGCCAATCGATCACAAATATAATTAGTGTGAAATTTGCAAATAGCACTACCTGCCAGGTTTGGCTTAGATATTTGCATAAATAGAGGCGAAAAGCCCCAAAGGCGACCAATTTTACACTTTTCTTGCATTACAAATTTGTGCGTTTTCTCATTTTTTGATGCAAATTTCTTTGCCAAACCTGCGCATTGGGAGATAAGTACATATGTAAAAGTGTGCATATGTAAAAGTTGTTAAATTCTCGGAATCGGTAATATAAATGAGTAAAGTTTTTCTGTCAATAACGAGACAACTTTTTCCAAGTAGATGGATGCGTCGTCCAATTTAATACAGATCACCCTTATCAGCTGAATTCCCGGGATGACCGACTACTTAATTACCTCAATTTGTAACGTAATATGATTCGCAAAATCTAGTGTCCAAACGTGGGCGAGACATGTGGCTGTCTTTATGCGTAAAAGTCAGCAAATGCTTTTACTTCAAAATTTTCTACTGAAAAAAATTACTTACCGGGGAAATTTTGAAGTAAAAGCATTTGCCGATTTTTATGCATATTTAATATCTTGATGAATCTCAATAGCCAATTTTCGGAGATACGGACTTTGAATAAACTCTATGACTCTCACGAATGCGCCAAAACATGCAAATGAGGTGACACGCCTAAGTATGTACGAGGATAGTATGCATATTCGCGGCACATTTCCCTTTGTCTTGTCCATCCGTAAATGTATCTAAACCCTTTTTATGAGCCCGATAAGAACATAGTGACCATACATTTACTCATAAAGCCCAATAATTCAGTTGTAAATATGTACATACCTCATTCGGCAATTCATCTGAATTTTGGTTTATTGAATGAAATAAACACATAGGTAAGTGACTAAGTAACTTGTTTTGCAAAAGTGGTCCAAGCATAGTAAATAAATCCATTTGAACGTTTCTCAGAAATATTTAGACGGCTTGTCGTATCCTTAGTTTGACGTCATTTTATCGGGTTCCGGGCGAGTGGGCGACAAACGTCTCGTCGACACCGTATTGGTCGACAAACAACTGGTTGACATTATATTAGTCGACACTCTGCTCAAGGACGGAACATTCTAATTTGAAAGTAAAAAATCTATAGTGCAGTTTTTTCATCTAGCCCATCTAGTTAGGGTCAGAGCCCGCTTACAAATTGATATCAGATGAGTCGTCAGACATCAATCAGAAATTTTGTTATTTAACATGGATGTATACGTAAAACAATATTTCAATTTTTTAACAGGTCACAGGGTCAATTTTTCAAAAAATATGAAAGAACAAAAATGTCTTATTTTTAGATTTTATATGAGCAAAAAATCACAACCAGGCTAATTTCAAAAGTGGCTTTAGCTTGTATTGTAAAGGATAGGCTGTCCAGAGACCTGCTGATGACCTAACGACATATTAGTACCAGCTCCTCTTGGTAATCGATAAAAATGTTTCCATAATCCAGCATGAAAAATTTTATGTCTTTTCCAATTTCAAAAATTTACTAATATGATCATGCCATGCAGAATCATGCCAAATTAGGCTTTGTGACCATTTTGGAAAATCAATGAAAGTCACTGGGCAGTCCTAAGTAATAATTTGGTCTCTATGAAATTATATTTTCGCCATAGTACACAAATATTACCAATCTCCTGACATTGTTGATTATTATCTTCGTACTTAATTCCTCATTTGCCTCATACTGTTTACATGTGTACCAAATCTCAAGTCGATATGTCGACCAATATGTTGACGACCAGTTGAAATTGGCGACTAATATGCCGTGTCGACCAGCCTTTTGACGACCAGTTGTTTGTCGACCAATACGGTGTCGACGAGATGTTTGTCGCCCACTCGTCACCAACCCCATTTTATCAAATAGATAAATCCATGCCAATAAAAATCAATTGACAGTAATAAATACAACTGACGCATGAACACTTTTCGCAAAAACATTGTAAAACCAGTATAAAATCAGAACCCGTTACCTAAACTTCAGTCAGTAATTCTGTTATTAACGCAGAAATCAGAAATAGCCACAGATTCTCCAGAATTAACTCGCGAATTTGAAAACTTGCACTCTTAGAAACTGGGTATTGATTTTTAAAAAATATTAATACCAGCGCATTGGTATCAATCATAACTCAAAATGTGGTATTAAAATTTTTGGGAAAATCAATACCCCATGTTTGTACATGGAGAGTATTAACTTGTAATACTGGGGTGGTGAAACATCAATACCTCTTGGTACCGATTTTATACCACTCTTGCCCAGTCTCAACTCTGTTTGGTATAAACAGGTTCGCGGGATTTGCAAACTATTTGCTTGTAGTTTGCAGATGGTTCATCTTTTGATAAGTTCTTCGAAATTAGTTGGATTAATTATAATTAATTAATTTTTTGAGGTGAGGAGGAAATAAATAATTGATTCCGATGGCAATTTTAACACTCCCATATTAACCGTAAGCCTAAATGTATTACTTTCCGTGTTTGGCTTCCGGTTTATAAATTAATATGTTTTCTTCTTTACAGTGAGATAAGTTCCACGCCTCTAAATTAGTTATGATGGATAATTGCTTGAGAGAACGGAGACTGTGAACTTCCTTATCAGCGGGTAAGTGTATTTTTCCTTGATTATGTCTCATGGCCAGTCTTATCAAGTAATTATTGGCTTTTTGCATTTATAATTCTTAAAAAGTTAACAATGTTATATTGTTAACATTAATTTGAAACGTTTATTTTTAGCGACGTCGCGTGTCGAATTTGCACTAGGTAAGATAATTTTAAATTGTCTAATTAAATTAATATGCAAACAAATCCCACAGTTGTGAATTGTACTTATGCTTAGACAACTTATGTTTTGAAATTACAGGTAGTTCGAGATCCGGTGACCTTAACTCTTCCATATTATTGTGTGAGGAAATTTTATAATTTTGTTATTTGCATTATTTTCTCTTTTTTGTAAATATGTGTGTATGATATAATTTGTTGAGTTGTAATTGGATACAAAATAAATAACGTGAAAATCAATACCAGGCTGTATTAAACCCTTATATTTCTTTACCACATGGTATTGTTTGCATCATATGTTATACTGATTGGTATTACGTTTCAATACCGCTACGATAAAAATCAATACCGCTACGAAAAAAAATCAATACCGCAAAGGACAGTTTTATACTGTCACGGTATTATTGCAGAATAATACCAGCCGGTATCAAATCCATACCAAAACGGTAGAGTCACATATGAATACCGCCGGGTATCATTCTGGTATCGATTTTTCTAAGAGTGTGGCACAACAGATATGAGTAAAATTCTGAAATTGTGTGCCCTCCTTGCCATCACGACACACGTGAAAGCAATACCGATATGTAGGTAAAATTTCATACTTGCGTAGGTAAAATCAGACCATATCATGTAAAATTTTAATTTTCTATCCAGTTGACTATCCCGGTGGCCTTTTTGAGGGGGATATTCTAGGCCCCATCCCACAGGTCACTCGAGCCGGTGTCATCAACCCTGCGAAATCTGCCACATTTCCATACCAGTTTGCATCCACATTCCGTAAGAAACATTTTCTAAGAAACATTTTCTGAAAACTTGAGTGTACTATGGTTGAATTGTTAAAAGAAGACACTAATTTTTGAAAACTTGTCAATCATCATCCCTCCTCAGTGACCTTGGTCGGGTTCAGGTGACCGTAAAATTACGATCAATTTCTCACCTTACAGGTCAAGTAATCGTTGATTTTAGGTCACATCATCGCCCGCCTAGGTCACTGAGGAGGGACGACGGTTGACAAGGGTTTAAAAATTAGCATCTTCTAAAAATTAAACCATAACCAATTCGTTTTTTAGCTTCCGATTACCAACCGCTTTTCCAGTCCGCCGTCAACCACCTCGTAGGACGCACATGCATCCGTTTAAAACCCAGACAGAGCGAAGTAGACTTTCTCGATGTAAATCAACTCAATGCCTGCAGTTCGAATATTGGGCGAATTGGGGGCGGTCAATGGTTATCCTTGGCGAATGGGTGTAACCATTTTGGGATATTTGTGCACGAGATCATCCACGCTATTGGCTTTTATCACGAACAGAGTAGGACGGACAGAGATAATTATGTCACTATTAACTGGGGCAATATTGGCACAGGTAAACCGGAAGTGTATTTAATTAATTTACACGTTTAATTAAAGATCCCAATCCCTGACGAATTTAGGAGCCGAAGGAAATTTCCAAAGTTATGATGCTTCTCAAGTCTCTCCATTCTGGGGTGTCTTACGACTACTCGAGTATAATGCACTATGGGAGCAAAGACTTCAGTAAGAATGGCCTCGATACAATCACACCTAAACAAAGTGGCGTCATCATAGGGCAAAGGGATGGCATGAGTAATTCAGATATTTGGAAAATTAATAACATGTACTGCCCAGGAACGCAAGGAGTCAGAATGAAGAGCGAATTTAATGGACAGGCGAGACTATAAAATATTTATATAGGTCCGATCGGGTCGGATCTTTTTATTGGACCATTTACTATCTACAGGGCAAATGCAATGTTAATTTTGCCACTTATTCGCAAATCGCCCCAACTTGATAACCATAACATGGAGTATGTAAATAGGAGCTAGTTGGGAATTAGTGGCAAAATTTACACTGGATAGGATCTGGTGTGCAAATGGTACTTAGATCCTACTATTCCGGGAATGGATCGGATCCATGCTGTAGTAAATAATCCGGTCGGATCTGACCAAATCGGCTCCTCTGATTACCAGCACTAACAATGCGATGGTGCGAAGTGCAACTCTCCGATTTGGCCGAAATTTTAAAATTGAGTGGTCCAAGTCAATACAACAACGTTTCTTGAGGCAGTTTGTGCGATGGTTGGGATTTAGAAAAATATTTGAGGTCAAAGTTGAAAAACTGGTGATTTTTACCAAGCGGAGGAGGTAAACTCCACTTCCATGATTTTAAAGGAAAAAATCGTCATTTTTTTGAACTTTCACCTCAAATATTTTACCAAATCCCGACCATGGCACAAACTTCCTCAAGAAACGTTGGTTGAATTGACTTGGACCACTCAATTTTAAAATTTCGGCCAAATCGGAGAGTTGCACTTCGCACCATCGCATTGTTAGTGCCTTTTAATAACCAACAGACACAATCTTACTCATGTGAATTCTGATCTTAGTACCTCGATGTGAAGTACGGAGTTGCTAACGAGGGCCAAGACATCCTTACTTGGGATTGGCTGAACAGCAACAACCAGAAGTGGACCGTCGACTGGGGTGTGTTACAGAAAGCATAAATTTTATAGATACAGCAATTCTTGAATTTCTTTGGCTCGAATGAATTAGAGAAATTTGAATTTTTCCACGTCCAGCTGCATTCAACGATCAATCGCTTGGCTCCAAACTTTGGACTTGGGCTCAAACCAGTGGGAGTGTCAAGTTGATGGACGAAAACCAGGCAAATGCTGGCGTCATTATTTGGGTATTTCAATGCATATTTGTAACGTCGAGTATTGGGAAGTTGTCAGAGTTACTAAAGTTTGATACGTCAGGGTGAAAATGGAGGGCCGAACCAGTACTGGATTGCGACGCAGATCACTGGATCGACCTACACCATCAAGAATAAGTTTTCTGGTCGGTGCTTGTCCAATAATGGGTAGGAATTCGTCACAATAATTATAATTTTGGGAGAGACGTGAAACTAATTAGTTTCGTAATTATGTTAGTGCCGATCGGGCGACCTGTGCCACGTGCGATTCGTCCAACTTGAGACAACGGTGGCAAATTTATACAGCTGTTCCTTAATAACATGGGCAATTATCCATCATGCATGGTTTAATTACGAATAAAAATGGAAGGCAAATATTAAATATGTTCTTACCCTCTAAATAAAAATAAGTAAAATCTACCCGTTTGCTCCATCCTTTATGATAGGTGATTTGCAAATGCCCCGGTTTCTTAACCACAATTACCATGAAAACAGCGGAATCATCGGTATTGCATTCATAAATAGACATTAGACAAAGTGAGTTCACGATTTAAGGTAACCATCGATGAGTCATTCCCGCGCGTCTCATTCCGCCCCATGTGTCATGTTTCATTATGACTTTAAAGAATTCTATATTTTTAACTTGAAAAATTCATCTCAGCAGATTTTTTGAAAAAAAATCCTTCTAAAGAAGGACTACAAATTATTGAGGAAGGAAATTTGTTCCTAAAATCTGCTGAGATGAATTTTTCAAATTAAAAATATAGAAGGTATAGGTGCAAGTTCGCGAATCTTGGGCCAAGATTTTTTTATTGTTTAATTTTGTAGATAATGATAGTATAAGATAGTGTCACAACAAATTGATTCCTCATTTCTTCCACCGTGCCCACAGAGCGGTACCAATCTGGGAAAAACTCACACATTATCCTCCCCAAACTTATATGTGTTAAATCGTTGGCACTATTGGATTGACGTAGAGCGAACAATTACAGTTTTCTTGTGTTGTTGTAATTTATATTGGCGATGTAATTATTTGTATTTTCTCTCTGGCCACAAGAAAGTATTATTAAATACTCCCGGTGTTACAGTCTCACGGTGTTGTACATATTTGAGCTTGGATTGAAAATTCTGTTTTTTTGCAGTGAATTTCAGTCCCATCAAATCACTAGGCCGGAAGTCGAAAGAATGAGTTTATCACCATAGGTAACAAAGGGGGGAGGGGGTCAAAATTACCTCAAAATCGATCACGTGATTTTAATGAGGGTATTCATTACTTGTTGGTATCGGCAACCTAGCAATAAAATAAAATTGGCAAGATAAGAAATGCAGGGAAAAGTTAGTTTTTTTTCTAAATCGAAATAATTAGATTGAGATGGAAATATACCCTCGCAATTAGTGGGTGACAATATAGTTATCCCTGATGGTACGACAGGCTCTACCATGCTAAGAATTTATCAACAAATTAATTGGTAGCCAATTATCTCAAGGTGTTTGTTGATATTTGTATTTCTTTAGCATTGACAATATGGACAATATAGGATTTACTTTTTGTAGTTATACTCCTTAGGTGATCTGACTAATTATAACTAATGCGGCAGGACCGTATAAGATTAGGTCTGCTTAACTCTAAGGGGACCTGTCGACTATACACCTACATACATATTGCACCGTGTAGCCCTCGACCTACCATTTACCCTTAAAATTACCAAACCATGATTCCAGTTCTAGTCCCTGTTTGGTGTGGTCGACATCCTTCCGCACGGTGGGTGTGGTTGTGATGACGATGATTAATTAGTGGTGGAGGGGTGGTGTGGATGAGAAATAAAGTGTGTGTGGATACTTGGGAACTAATTTCTCAGGAGCACATTTTATTATGACTGTACTCGTCCACCACTACTCTAAGACTCCCCAACTCTCCCTTCTCCGCTCTCTCACTTACAACCTTCTTCCTTTCTCTCGACTCTTCTAGAACATTCTCTCTCTCTCTATGTATTACATGGCTATATATATATACTACGGTAGTCGTATACCTATACTTATACATATGTACATATATAATAAGGAACATGTCCTGATAACCGCATAGTAATTAGTCCGGGAAGAATGTTTGAGAAGAAAATTATTGCTATAAATTAGAAATTAAAATTGAAGAAATACTTATTTCAACAAAACCCATTATGCATAAGCACGAAGTCCGAACAGCCTACCGGTTATGAATTCTGAATTGTAATTGTATATGACAGGAAACGCTAAATGGAAAATTTTAATGATACAAAAAACTGGCAGGAAATGCTAATCGATTTTCCTGTTGGGTGTTATTATATTCACTATTTACTGGCAGGTTTGAGAGCTACTAGTTCAAACTCAGCGTTCTACTCTGATAAAAATTTCACTTTTTCAGACCATACTATGCAAATATGTCGACATCACCATGGATTTGCTTCCTGCTGATCATATTTTCGTCCTTTGGTGAGTGTACGAAATGGCGCGGCGTGTTTTCTGATGCGGATCTTACCTTCATATTCACACCTGATGGGGAGGAGGTACTTAACCTGAGAGACTTTCCGTATTTTCACGACGTTCAGGTTAGTAATTCGCACAGCCCGGTGATACATTACGTCCTTAACCAGTCGACCTTGACAACAATGAATCCCGTCCCATTGCTAAGAATGCTAAGGTCGATTGGATATAGGGACACGGAGAAATCGGCGAGATCTAAGGCTATTTTCGTTAATCTGGTAGCATCAACTACGTGGAGGTACAAGTGCATAGACTTAGTCAAAACTATTAATTTTATAGGGCGACAAGAATTTATTTTTGGTTACGTACATGATTTCAAGGAGTTGGGTTGTCTCAAATGGCATGCTACATTTTTAGGAGGATTGAAGTTACTCGTATTCTTGAGCGGTGTCGACCTGTCTATATTTGTGCCATGTTTGACATGTGACGAAATTATATTCACGAAGGTGAACACATTGTCGTCAACGGGTATAAGTCAAGCTTGGGACGCTCAGAACAAAGACTTTCACAAATACCGTATTGTACTTGTGATAAATGTACATGAAAACTGTGCCCTTTTGCAGGAAACACTTGAGAAAATCATTGATTTCGCTTTTTGCCCAGTGGCGATAACTACGGGGAAGTATAACTTGACTTTATTACAATACAAAATTGGAATTTTGAATTAGTTTCGTAAGAGTGAAGAACTATTTTGACCGTTTAGCAATTTCCGGAATACCAGCATTTTGGGGGAACGTCCAGTACAACAATGTGTTTCGTTTTATGATGTTGGAAATGTTCAAGACTTCTTCGAGGGATGACGTGTTGCCGTCAAAGAAGCCGAGACCAGCCAGCTTAAATAGTACACAGATTGTGCTGTTTTACGTTTATCTGATTTCCCTTGGAGCCTCCGTGCTACTCCTGATTTTCGAGCGGAAATTTCAGTTCTTTTCAATGACAAATTAAATTAATCCTCAACGTTGATTTGTTTATTAATTTAAATTTATTTCAACTGGTTAAATTTGAGAAACATACTTTAATGACTTAAAGTTAGAAGAAACTTTTAATGAGTTTCTCATTTACCAAACGTTTAAAATTTCGGCCATCTTTTGATAATTCTAAATAATTGCATTCAATTTATGAAAATAACGCACTAAGCCATGTTTTCTACTAAATAACATAATATTATTTGTGATGAACTGACCGAGGAAATATTTCTCGTTGTTTGTAAGGCGAGAGATCAAGTTTTAATTTTGTAGCAAGTCGTGAAGATTTGCAGTGGGGGATTCACTTATTAAATATTAAGAACTATAAAGTATGTCTATAAGTATTTACGTGTATGAATTAATGTGTTATAGTTCACTGTTCCAAATTCCATGCATTAATATTTTCATTTACAATAAATAGTACCATTTACTAAATAATACTATTTATTGTAAATACGAAGGTTTATGAAAAATCGATATCCAGAAATACATATTCGATATATTAATATTAATTTTGCCATGATTGCTGTAAAAATTTATAGCAATTGCTTTCCATGTTAAAAGTATTTGCAGTAATACTTATTACTCACATCGTTAAATTAGTTATTGCCTCAATTACTTTCAGAATGTAAATACCTATATTATCGCAATAATAACAATCTTACCGTTCCCTTAATGCGCAGTACAATCATCCTCAAAGGTGTCAGTATATCTACAAAATTATTTCCGAACCTCACCTTTATCGGCGAACAACCACGGACCCGTTTACAAAACAATTTTCTACCAGGCACACCATCTAAACCGTCACGCTTTAACCTATTCAGCATAATTTGCGACTTTTTATTCCCCACCCCGCATAAACCATCAACGAACAGGATAAGAAACACACTTTCTACCAAAACACTGAGGAAGAAAGCATTTTCCACGCTCAAAAATAAGTTTGATACATTCAGAACACAGAAATAGCTACAAGACACGTTTGCTATACGGTATAGCCTATACCGAAAACTAAGAAAATACCGGGTAAAAACTCCTTTCGAAAACAAGTGTTGATTTGGGCCTCAATTATTTTAAGGTTAAAATTAAATCTTACAAAGTCTTCTGACTTGACCATCTCGTGGCACAACTTTTTTGGTAATTCCAAAATTTTGAAGCACCCCACCATTCTTTGGGCTTCTTTGAAACTGTTAACTTTCCCAGCTTTTCAATCAGTTAAAAATTAATGTGAATCAGCATAAAAAATGACAAATCATTAGACTTGAAAGCATTAGACTTTCAACTAACTAATTACAAAGAATTATTTACTTCCAAGAATCACTGGGTTGACCTACTTCCCGACTCCTACCACCACGTGACACAAAAACCACTGACCACCTTGACCCTCAACAAATTCCCTCCAGTAGGGTTGCAGCGGGTGGCGAAAATGCTACCCGTTACCCGACCAGCTACCCGCAGCTCAACTACCAGTACCCGCGCGGGTACCCGTGCGGCTACCCGTTACCCGTTATGAAAATTCAGTTAAAAATTAACCAACTATCAAAATCAAGTCGGTTTAATTAATCATTTGGTCTTTCAAGTTAATAAGAACTACATATCAGTTAGCTATATGAGAAATAGTTGTCATTAGGAAAATTTAACTAACCGCTCACGAAAACAAGCTTTTTGACTTATGTAACTAGGAAACCAGTGTGACATGATTGGTTGAAATTTTCAATCGCATGTCATTTTTATATAAAAATCTTGCCTTGCAAGTATAATCTTTGCTTTAATCGTATCTTATTTTTCTTTATTCCTACAAAAATAAATTACAAGTTCGCCAGTCCCATATAAATGCATGTGTAAAACTATTCAAATTAGAAAGCAAGCATCAAATAAGAAAGCATTAAATTCTGCTTGAGAAATAATAATCTTGCCCTATTTTTGCTGGTTTTAAAGTGGGATGGTGTGAATTACAACATCCAGATTTTGTTTAAATTGTGGAATTTTGTAGTTCGAGTAAATACAGTCAACATTTTATGGAACAGTTTGCGCAATGTTTGGAATTTGTCAAAATATTTGGGACCAAATATGAAAAATGGGGCAATTTTTATTGGGGAACAAAATGCGAGTTTTCTTTCTCCACTTGTTAAAAATGCTCATTTTTCAACTATGAGTTAAAATATTTTGACAAATACTAAGTTAGGTTTCCTAATTACTGCACAAACTGCTTCAAGAAATACGCTGGCGGTATTGACTTTAACCGCATAATTCCAAAATCGAAACACATCGGATTGTTGCACTACACACCATCGCACAGTGGGCCAGGACATGTTTATTTGGTGGCCATTAACTGAGTGTGAGGATAAATTCTATACAAGATGAACAGAGTATGAAGCCATTAACATTGTTGCAAAATGTCAGCAATTGATAAAGTCCACCTTCAAAGTAACAGGGTTCCAAAGTTCAGAGAAAGCATCGAAGTAAGTGGGCACCAGTTTCGATAAGCGCCACCGCTCGCCACGGGCTGCTCCGGCTTATTTTTTGCGATCATTGTTTTTTTAGTCTTGTTTTCAAAATCGTCCCGACATCGTCCACCTTTTTGAAATTTCAAAAATTACGGAGTCGTAGGGGGCGCCAGATTGTACATGTCATATGTAAAGTACTCTTGAACTTATGCTCGTCTTGTTCGATTTGGCTGACTTTTTGATGTGTTGTAGCCCTGATGGTCCTGAACAATGTTTAAGTTACGCTAAACCCGAAATTCGACCTGCATGACATTCTTTTAACCCGTCAAGGTCACCAGGTCAAGTCTCAGGTAGCCCCATAAATGGGGTACCGTTGGAAAGGTCTCGGCGGGAGGATCCAGAAAATATATACTTTGTGGGGTCTGGGACTACCCCCTGAGTATTTAGAGACCTATGAATATTTTGAGTTTTCGCCGATCTACTGCTGTGTTAGCTCTCAATCTGCGGCTGTGTTAACATCTGTATACCTTGAAGACCAAAACTCCACCCGAATCCTAACTGTGTTCAGACACGTACAAAATTTCAAAATGATCGACACTCCGGGCGGGCTAATTCAAAGAAACGATCTCATTTTACCCCATTTTAAGTCAATTTCTTTCCACACGACATTCGTTATCGGAGAAGAATTTGACCTAGGCTTGAAATTTAAGGGACCACTCAACCCGACTTTTGCAAACGTTACCCGGCTCTAGTTTAACGTTACATTTTACGATGCGACCGATTTACGGAGCCGACATTTTGCACCTTCTCGCGCCACAGTTGGAATACGTGTGCATTTCCGGGGTGGAAAACATCACTCCGACTGAAATTCGCGACGCGTGCATCAGGATCCCGATTCTCCCGAGGTTAAAAGTTTTTGAAATTTTGAGAAATGAAATGCTCAGTTGTGGCCACGATACGAATTGGTTTCGACATATGGGCTATGGCGCCGATGAGAATGTGCATTATGCTTTTCCTGTATGAGACTTTTTTGGTGGAGGGTTTCTCGCCGTGAAACGGTGAGGGATTTGAATATTTTTTTCCCCGCGGGAAAAGACTGGGATCCGGGAAGGATAAGGATGAAATGTCGGAATGAAAACTGGGGGTGGAAGGAAGACGTGCCTGATTTTTATGGTAGAATTTCCACGATTTTTCCAAACGTGAAGTACCACGCGGTCGAGGCGGGCAAGGCAGCCGTGAGAATGGCAAGGCTCGAGAAGTTTAAAGAGTGCCGTAATGAGGGATGGATCTGTACGGGTTTTTGTGGGTTTTTGATACAGCCTCCAGCCATTTTGAAGTTATAATTAAATTTTCAATTAAGTAATTCAGTGAAAAAAAGTACCTGAATAAGTCGTAATCTCGTAATACTTTGTGTAAAATCATTAGCATGCAATGTCACTGTGATAATAATTGTCACGAATGTATATATTTACATATTATATGATTTACTCATTCAAGAAATATCCAATAATACCTATGTAAGGTCTGATTCATAAATCGTGGCACTGTATCAAAATGATGGCATTTGCTTATTTTTTTCATCAAGACAACTTTTTTCTTGAATATTATAGCCAATATAATTGTTTACTTAGAAAGCAATGAGATTTGGAGCATTGATTAACTTAAACCCCAAAGACAACAGTTTTCAAGAGCCACCTCGAACCCTTCTTTTCCCACTTTGCTTGTCATACTTTTATGAATTTTACACAGTAAACGCATGAATTTCTGAAACTGATTTCTTGAGGCAGTCACCAGAACCCAGCTATCCTAAAATATGCTGAAAATCTTGCAAAATTATTTTCTTGTGGAATATTAGGCCTATCAGAACTTCTCATAACGTTAATTTCCATAAGACTTGATCTTAAAAAAAATTGAAAATTTTGGGAAATTTTGGTTTAGGTTAAACTTGAGGGACATTTTTGTATTCTCCAAGATCCCTGGCATGTCACAATCAAGGTTGGAGGACAGCAGAAGGGTCTATGTTAACTCATCAGAAATAACCGAAATTGTCGCGATAGCTGTTCGCAAATTTCGGGACTCCTTGTTTTTAACGTGGGCTTTTAGCTATATACTTGCCCACTTATTGGCAGTCTGATATTTATATTTTCCACTAAATGGCCTGGTATTTACCCTGCTACGATTTTATGTGGTTTGGTTGCAATATGGATGGAAGAAAAAGCGTCCCTATATATTTCGGTCTCCACTCTCCGAATAGCCTCAAGCACCGAATGTTAGGATTTTTTTTATGAAGGCCATGAATTTATTTGGTCAATACGATTGGGTAACTGAGCATTCCATGTATTTCTAAGTTCATAGGAAATAATTTACTACCCGAAGTTGACGGATTTTAGACGTTTGCACCACAGGTTTTGCGACATCTTGTTTTGTTACATTCTCATTTTGCACCCTATGATTCGATCAACCCTTGATGATAATTTTTGTGTGGCATATCAGTTGCTTTATATTAGGGTAATCAAAATTAATGAATTATACTACCCTCATTGGTGTACCGACCTCAGGAATAACAGTGCCACGATTAATGAATCAGATCTTATTTACATACATATTTTCAAGTTACTAATAAATATATGTACATAAGTATGTAGATAAATCTGCAATTTCTTCGTGAATAATCGTCGTCACGTTCATTATTGCACAGAACTAGTCGATTTAAATAAATAAGTGCATTAATTGAAGGTACCAAAAAAAGAATTTCACTCAGAAATGGGTAGGGTTTCTTTTCGCAAATTCACACTGATGGAAACTTTACATACTGATTGATAAAAGTATTTCGGGAGCATGAGGAATGTGTTCAAGTTATTTATATATTGCCTGATCGAGTAATTATCTCATATATTGTGGGATTCGGCAAATTTTTCCTATATTTTTAGCAGCGTGTGCAAGGGCAAAAAGGCATGCCTTGCCCAAAATGCCTTTTTGCCTATTAGGCGCATGAATTTTGGGAATACCGGGCCCGATTGCCCGAAATGCCTTTTTGGTAAAATCGGGGCAATTTGATTATACGATCGTATGATATTTATTTTAAAAATAAGTTTAATCTTTCACAATTCACTAGATTTGTGAACATAAATAAAATTATGTTTATTTGGGATAGCTGCATGTAGATGATTGTCGATACCACTAAACACAATCTAGACATCTAGAAGTCTATGAATATTCGAAAATTCTCGGAATCATCATGAGCACATACGTAAATACTCTTGTGAAGTACGTGTGGAGGAGTGAAGGGTTGGTAACGTTTTGGAAAAACCGAAAAGGAAAGCCACACGGCAAGAAATGCCCGTCGGTATTTCAGTACGGACGTATCAAAAATCGCATTGCGAGCGGTCCCCACTTAAATTGAGTACAATCATACTTGTTCGAGCAAATGCGTACTTCGAGCAAGTGTGTTTGTACCTAATTTAAGTGGGGACCACTCGCAATGCGATTTTTGATACGTCCGTACTGAAATACCGACGGGCGTTTTTGCTGTGCAATTCTTTGTTTTCACTGTTGTATGTAAATAGAAATATTTCAGGCAATGCATATTAGTAACATATGGAAAAAGGCAAAAAGGCATCAAACTGGCAAAAAGGCACGCAAAAGGCAATTGGGCATTGAAAAAAACAAAACGGCAAAAAGGAATGGATATTTTCCAAAAAAGGCGCCTTTTTGCACACTCTGATTTTAAGACAACATTTTATTGATAAACTGGGCCTCAAGTTAATTTAAAATTTAAATCAAATTTTAACACATATTTAGCGTTTAAGTTGGTAATGCAAGACATACATAAATTTATAATTCCCCAATATCCCTGAATTCCTTAAGCTTATCCGATAAATCTTTCCAAGCAGCGGGATCATCCAGGACAACCCGTTGGATCCGTGTCCAAGTCTCTGAAATCAACGAGGGATCGTCTAGAGGAAGCGTAACTATATCCAGAAAGCGCATATCGTCCTTGTAATGGGTTAGTACATCGCATTCCCAAATTAGTGAAAACTCATGCTGGGTACGTAGTGTTTCCATAGTCGAAGTCAACATTAGACACACGGTTTTCGAAAATCGTAAACTTCCTGCGCACCGAAATTAAGAAGAGGTTTATGATAAATAATAACGCATTGGTAAAAACTTTGGGTTGGGAATTGTTTAATAATATCGATCCGAAACTTGGACGTATTTTCTAAAGTCTTACCCTCATAGTCTTCATAGTCGACGACATATTTAAAAATTGGTTTCTCCACCCCGCTTACTTTGTCCGTAACGAAAATAGTGAATGCATCTTTAATCGCTATCAACTTGCCAGGTTTATCAGGCAAATCATTTAGACCAGCCGCGACTAAGTTTTCCGGATCGATCAGGGTAGTTTTGGTGTAAGCTTGGTCAGTAATCCTGACGCCCTGGTCCGTAAGATCGGTTACAATTACGACTTCTTTCCATATCTTTTCCTGAACTTGGTTAGCTTTAATTTTCCTGTAGCACATCTTAGTCACGTTGCTTAGCACGAGAGGTGTAAGTTTAGTGTGAGCGTGCTCCCCAAGGAAACATAAGCAGGTTGGATGCTATAAGGCAGGAATAAAATCAAGGATATTAAATTAAAATATTAATGTCCTTGACTTTGATTTAAAATCCATAGATATAAAAAATGTATTACTAATGGTAAGTACGCGTACCCCTTCAATATATGAGTCTTCTTTCGGGGGGCCAAGGTCAATAATAGCGGCATGAATTATATTCATACTGGAGACCCCGCCGTCCTCCATTTGTTCAAAATAAATTACTAAATCCAAGTACAGGATCCCTTTCTGGCCAACCGTCCAATTAAGCTGCACGTCAAGGATGTGTAACTCAAAGTATGGAAGTACGGTGCTATCTTTAGTAGAAAGGTGCCTTATTTTCATTTCCTCCATTATTTCCAAGGTCTCGACCCATTTAACGGGATCATCCAAAACGTTGGATCGAATGCAGTTCCATACATCGGCAATAAATTCAAGGTCATGCTCATTGTCGAAGCGAAGTTCTGACAATTCCACGGCATCTTCGTATATGCCCATGGGACGACAATCCCAGATTTTAAGATCAAGACCGTTATCAACCAGAAATTCGAACGTCAATTCGTCAAGAAGGCATACCTTAGAAGATTTAAGGGTTCCTGGAATGAAAACAATGAAATAATTAGTCATAGACAATGCATTCAAATTTTGGAAATACAGGTTTCTGATTTCCAGCGTTCTTCAATGAAATATTGGACATCTCTTTATTAAGGGGTGAAAACCCCTCTATGGGAATGTCTTGTCTATCAGTCTGTCCGTCCGTCTCCACGATAAAATTTGAACGGATGTGAATTTCGACATGCCGTTGGCGCCAAAGTATTTCTAATTTTTGAAGTACGGGTGAGTTCGATGGGCGTTGTAGGTCGTAAGGTCGCGGCGCCACGGTAATGACGCCAATGATGAAAGATGTCGAATTTCTTGTTTTGATCTTTCAGACGTATTTTGGTGCGCGGAGTTCAAAAATCGACATTGTTTTTAACTACGCTGACCGTGTAGACCACACCCCATGTCGACAAATTGAATTATGTGATGTGGGATGTCTATCGAAACTTATACGTTCTACGTACGCGGGAGTTATGTCGGAACGGGGCGACATGAGACGTGGGGTAACGTGAGACAATTTGGGAAAATGACGGGAAAGTATTGGAAGCCGATGTAGGTGTGCCACAAGGACATTTACATACGTTCGTTTTCACCCCTTTGCTACATTTCGTTTGCAACAGTTTATTATTATTGGGTTTGGGTATTTCAGTACCTGCATAATCTTTATAGTCAGCCGTCATTGTAACTAATAAGGAGCGATATTTCTTTTGATGATTTCCAATCCGTATTTCGATAACCTCTCTAATTTCTAGGATTTTTCCTAATCTGGTTGGCAGAATTCGTATTGCCTCATCCATCAACCCATCGGGATCGTTCAGGATAATGTTCGGGTGATTGTCTTCTCCCCGAAAGTTTCTTCACCAAATTCGTCAACAATGCCTTCTTCCGGATAGAGAATCATAACATAGCAGCTTTTCACCACTTGAAGTAATGATGTTTCAGTAATATCTTCATGGATAGTTGCAGCGTGAAAGAAACAGTAAGGTAGAGGTATCTGGACGAAAATTCAAGTCAAATTCGAACTTTAAACTGACAAGGGACACTCACGACCTGTCGTTCGCGTCCAGGGTACCCACTACGTTTTTTAGAACATATCAGTACTAGGACCCTAAATAGAGGATGCATTCATATTTCCGTGTTAAATCATATTTCCTGCCGTGGCGTGGAGTCAAATTCGCCAAATTTGTATGTTTTTATTTTTAAAACCGCCATAACTTTTGAAATCCTGGGCGGATTTTCAAAAACAATGAAAAAAAGTTCAACTTTCGTATCTTTCAAAATATTAATTGTTTCAATTTGTCAAAATTTTAGGATTTTCTTACACATGGCGATAAAATCTTAAAAGTGTTAAAAAAAATTATTTGTCATTTTTTCGGAAAATTTTGCCCGTTGTGATTATTTTAAGCCCAAAATTTGAAAATCTATACCAAGAATTGTGCAATGTTTGTTCGCAGTTGAATTTGGCGCTCGGTTATATAATTGCCTCACATTGCCCCATAGTTATTTAAATTGCCCGTCAGCGCTACCTACCGGGGGTTTACGGCACTAGATTGAGTTTTTCGCCTTTAGGTGGCGTGTTTGACAATCACAATCAATTTACAACCAAGAGTTGCGCAATGGTCGAGTGTCCACAATTGCGTTTGGCCCTTGAATATACCCACGTGTTCCACATAGTAGTAAGGGGGGATATGCGCATTCCTCACTCATGTATTTTATATGGGAAAAAGAAGTATACGCTTACTCCTCACCTTGTTATTCATATGGGAATTGTTGTATTGACAATAACCTAAGACAAAAATGGGAAATTTTAGGCTCAAATCACGATTTGAGCCTGAATTGCACCATTTTTGTCTTAGGTTATTGTCAATACAACAATATACGACAATATACGACAATACGACTATAAGGTACGTACGCACGCATGTATTTAGCTCAAATGTAATTTTGCTTCGAGTATAAAGACTTGCCTCCTAATCGATTAAACGACTAGGAGACAAGATCAGCCTCCCATTTCCTTAACAATGAATTCAAATAAGAAAACATTTAATGAAGTGTGTATGTCTTTGTCGGGAATGTATATACATTTGCAATGACTTCTGCAATCAAATCTTGTTTAATTGGAATGGGTTTTTTACGTGAAGCTTGAACAAATGGAGACAATTCAGCAAACTCTTTGCATCCCTCCATATAACTTATTTTGGCATATGTGTAAAGACATATGTGTTTACATATGTACACATACATACATATGAGTATAGTAGTGTGTCTGAGATATACTATTATACACTGCAAATAAACTGGTGTCAATTCCGCGCGGTGTAGTCACATATAGACACCACGCGGTGTTAATTGCCCGTATTAACACCGCGTGGTGTCTATATGTGACTACACCGCGCGGAATTGACACCAGTTTATTTGCAGTGTACTCATGAAAGTAATAAAGACTGCTATTTTATGCATGTATGTACTCATATGTGTACATATATTTACATGGGTAAACACATGTAAATATGTGTACATATGTAAATACATATGTAAACACATATGCGTACAGATTTGGGCATAAAACCTTGAGAGGCTGACGCAAGATCAGCCTCTCATTTGCACATTAGCAATTGAATAGAGCGTTAATAATGTTCATCCAAAGATCTGTTGACACTTTTTGCAATGTAATTTGTTGTATTCGGTGATCTCGAATTGAAATTTGAAGCAAAAACTCAATTCGAAAAAGATTTCTTTGATCCCTCGAGATATGTAAATGTTCATATGTACACATATGTGCACATATGTTGCTCAAATCGTCACAACGTTCAGTGCCCCTGATAATTTTGGACCAGTATATAAGCAGAAGTTATTGGGACCATCAGACAGTTGACCCGTAGAGGTAGCATCAAGATGGTTTACAACTGTAGTCGGTGCTCCAGGCATTTTAATTCTAAAGAGGCTTTAAGTAGTCATGAAACTGGCTTTCACAAAGTCACGTTATTTGATTCTGACGAGGGTGAAACAAACAAGGACTCAACCAATGAGTCTAATGAATCATGTTCCGAGGATGAGCCCACACCAAAGAGGGAGCGACGAACTCGGGCTAAAAGCAAGAGCAGGCGGTCATATTGTAACAGAAAAGGAGTCAGTCGCGATTCAAGTTCAGGTGCGTCTTCTGACGAAGAAGAGACCGATAGTGATACAGAAAGTCGTGCAAGCGCAACTTCCCATGACTCTGGTGAATGCTGTGAGGTCTGTCGTACACTGCATAAGCCTGACCGGGTAGATTTTTGGTGTGAACCACTTGCTGAGTATCATATTCTTGGAATAGAGTTGATGCTAAGAAACGAAGATTCGACGGATATGCTGACAAAATTGATGCAGTTTCTAGAACTCCCCCAAACTGAAGAAGAGAAAATGCTAACGACTGGAGAACATCTGAAAGGTGTAATCGCATCTATCATGCAAGCGGCTAGCAATGGAGAAATGGTGGTCACTCGTAAAATACTTAGAGATATTGTAAGATTATCATCATCCGGCCTCTCTAGGGTCGAATAAATACAGACGAGACATCGCCTCTTCTAATTTGTGTAGGTAATTTTGTCAACGATAAAATTCCTTCTCAAAAGATAAAACTTAAACTTTCAAAGATTTTTATAGATGTAAAAATATATAGTTGTCAGAATAAAATGAAATTGATATAATTCATATTTGAATTATGTAAATATTTAATAGCCTAAATATGCGCAATAATTCGGCAAATAAAACTATTTATTGTCAATAGTGCAGTTTTGTTCATATTTCATTTACTCATCTCAGCATCTTATGCCGTGGCCGGCTCAACCTTTTAAGCTCATAAATTTAAGCTTAAATTGCACCATTGATGTATAAATATTAAACTAATGACTTTTATCAGCACCTGAAACCCACCACATGTGCATCAATCAGCTCGAGTCTAGAATTAGTTCTTCAGTTTTATGCATCTAAGGAAAAATAACTACAGATACCCTGGATTGGTTTTTCAGTTTCAAGTAGTTTAATTTGAGAATCAATCACAACTCTCCTGGCATTTTCAGGGAATGGCGTGACAGTTGTACTGGTTGTGATGTGAAATAGTGCGCGGTGAAAGTGTCTTAGGTTATTGTCAATAATTTACGCTTGCTAGAATTTGAGTTACTTTGCAATCAGAGTTTTATTTAGTTCAGTGAATTCAAAAAATAAGTTGGGAATTGAAGGACCCCCGGAATTCTTTGAGTCTTCGCCAATATGTGCAAGTAGTAGATAAATGTACATGTGAACTTAAGCTAGATTCGTCATACCAGTCTCGAATTGCTTGGCTAAAACCATCGCCCAAAATAAAATTGACATGAATTGAGTGTTTTGAAGAACAGAATGGATCCATTGAAACCAAAATGTGGACCATTCCACACTTACAAAGGTACACGTAAACGTGTATTTAGCTCAAATGTAATTTTACTTCGAGTAAGAAGCCTTACCTCTTACTCGAATCTAACTCGAATAACTTATGGTGACATGTAAACACAAATGTAAATACATATGTGTACATATGGAAACACATATGTAAATACATATATGTACATGTAAATACATGTGTACATATGTGTACATATGTAAACACATATGTAAATACATTTGTGTACATATGTAAGCACATATGTGTACATATGTAAACACATGTGTACATAATTGTGTATACTAGTTCATATTTCAATTATATATATGTAGATATTTGACAACATTAGTATACAAAAATTAAGTGAATAAAACAATTTGTTAACATTAGTACAATTGTGCCTCATTTCATATGTACATATGTGCTCACTTGTGTGCAAACACAGGAATATTGTTCAAATAATTGCTTTAGTGGATACGTCCAAAGCTACTCGTCGATAATTCGTACCAGTATCGTTCTTACGTAAATGGATGCTTCCATTTTCATCGCTTGTGATTCTTTGGCCCTGAAAGTTGAATCAGTACATTGAATCATGAGGGGTAATTTGAGATAATCGGAGGAATTTAAGACATTTAGGATAACTTGAGACAATTGGGGTAAATTCAGATATTCAGATATTAAATTCAGATAAATACAGATAATGAAATGACCCATCAACATTTGTCAAAGATTCTTGGGTTGTAATATACTCAATGCTAACTACTGCAACCTTGAAGTAAAGTGAACCTTTTATTTTGACCCTTTTCTTGAGTGCATTTAGGGCTTTGTTTTTAAGACAATAAAAATTAATGGAATCCGCCAAGTTTACTGAAAGGTTTTCAGGTAGTAATCTCTTCAATGCTATGGGTCAAACCATGTACTTATTTTCTTGGATAAGGTTAACATTGTAACATACTCCATGTTATGGGCGAATCCCTGCACTTATATTGTTAGATAAGATTAACATTGTAACCTACGCAATGCTATATGCATAACCCCATACTGGTTTTTCCCCATAAGAATAACATTGTAACCTACTCAATGCTATAGGTGAAACCCCATACTTGTTTTTTCCTCATAAGATTAACATTGTAACCTGCTCCATGCTATGGGTGAAACCATGCCCTTACATACTAGAGAGAAGAAAAAAGGTTCAATTTATTGCACATTAAATAATTCTCATAACAAAAAGAAGGCCGTCTTTTCCTCTCATCTTCCAAGAAAACGTTGACCCAATTTTAGGGTACATTTTCTTACCATCATAAAAATCAAGCTAAATTATTGACTCTACTCGTAAATAAATTGAACCTTTTTTCTTCTCTCGAGAGAAGAAAAAGGTTCGATTTATTGCACATTTATTGCCTCTCAGCAACAGTTACTTGACAATCTTTTCTTTGCAAAGATAATGTCTGGTTTTCCCTCGAAAACACTTCAACTTAATTTTCTCCAACCTCCCTGACTAAGAAGTCGAGGACAAATGTTTATTACTTATCTACTTTTCAGACCATTGCTAAATTGAGATCTTGGGGTGATTTGAGAGTTTTGAGGTGATTTGAGATTTTGGGGAGAATGAGATTTGGGAAAAATTGAGATTTGGGAAAAATTGAGATTTGGGGATAAATGAGAATTTGGGGGAAAATGAGATTTTGGTGAGAAATGAGATTTGGGGATAAATGAGAATTTGAGAAGTGATATTTTGGGGAGAAGACACATGAGTT